TGTTGACACCAGGCTGTTCTCCGTCTCAGCAGCTGCTGCTCGCACTGGCTGTTTTAGCACCCAGTAGTTGCAGATATATAAAATCTGCGTCAGGGACAGATGCGACCTGGAGAAAAAAGTTCCTACGAAATATTAAAATAATCAGCTTACCCTCTCTAATACTAGAACACTTCAAACATATACCACAACGATGAACAAATCCATCAGTTGATCTGCTATAGCTTTTTAAAGTCATGATACCACCACACGAACAAGTTCGCTCATTCCGGAGCAACCCTAAATCCAGGCAATACTGCAATACAGTATCCTCTTCGAATTTCAACCGTAACCTTGTAAGGGCACGCATTTCAAATGAATCAAGCGCTATACAACATTGAACTACATTCGTGAACCTCATTGGATAATTCCATATCGTTCATGAACCTCATTGGATAATTCCACATCGTTCATGAATCTCATTGGATAATTCGCTGATTGGTAGTTAGTGGTGTCGAAAGTTCAACTTCGCCGCCTGTGCAAACCCTCTCCTCCACTTTACGATGAATGCTTACAGTCTCACTGCTTTCCTCGTCATCTCATCAAATCACTACGTGTACTTGCAAATAACCACCGTCTCTCTGAAAAAAAAATCTTCGACATATATATAACAAAATCGCATTTTGAGTCAACGCGAAATCTCTAATCTAGAAATTGAGAACCGAAACCCGATCTATTCGATGGTGCCGTTGACAGTTTGAATATATATAGTAATGCCGGAGGATCAAATTCATCAATTTTATTCAAGAGCTCAAAAAAAAACATGGACAAATTTGTTATAAAACTCTGTCAAAATCTCTGACTTCTTCTCTCGAAAAAACCCCTTCTAATCTTAACTCCAACTGTGTATACAAATTTATGTGTATCTGAGGGAGCAGTTACATTGGGAGAACAGAAAGAAGGGCACACACACATACACCTCCAACTTCCTGAACATGTCCCGAAAAGCCTACGTCTCAAGAGAACAAACGATTAATTACAACAGTGCCATCGCCAGGCATCTCCCTGATACGGGTTATCAGATGAAAATTGTATAATCCTTTAAATTAATCATCAATAGACAGAAAAGCTCAAATCTCCTCAGGTTTACCGAAACAATCTCTGCCAAACGCCTGAAAACCGATTTATATATATATGTGTGTGTGTGTGTACAGAAAGAAGCAGTTTATCAGCAGTCTTTCCTTGCCCATCGTGGTAACTGGATGTCTTTATTCTCCCTCTCTCATTAGATTACATAATCTTTGGCTTTAATCTCACCCACCCCACCAACCTTTGATATAGTGTAATTTTGCTTGTCTCTTTTCACTATGTCTTGAGTTGAACCTTTCGGTCCTTAGTACCTAGGTGGGTATGAATCTCAGTGGGAATATCATCTCTCTTACTCATCGAGGTGGAATGCAGGTATCTCCAGTTGACGAGTCCTAAATAGGACGAAATGTCGGTCATTATCAACCAATTTACTATTCGTAGTTTATTCTAATCATACTACCAAATTACATTTACACTACTTTCTTGCCTTTATTATTATTATTATTATTATTATTATTATTATAATTAACATGAGAAGAGAATGATAAACAGGTTTTAACACGTCTGAGAGAGAGAGAGAGCGTGTCGGTGGTGGGCGTCAACTAATCCATGTGACTAAATAATAGTCTATTTAATAATTATTAAATAAAGACATAACGTATGACTCAACACACAGATTAATCATTCAAACCCTACAACACTCACGTCCACACGCACACAAATACCATTTATATATTAAAAAGAAATAAAATGGAAACGCCTAAAATCAATGACCACCTACATTTCTATACACAGTTGGCAGCAATAATCCCCGTCGTATTTTTTAAGGGGTAATTTAGTGATACTTTGATTTGACACTAGTAACTAGTGTGATACATCTAGTCCTCTGATTGGTGCAGACTGAATTCTATCAGTCAGTCAGGCTTGTAATGTGATCACTATTCTAGCTAGCTCGCCATCACGGTGCACATTGATTTGATGGTTATTAGATGGTCCAAGGCAATCGGTCACAGGAAGCCTTGCCTGACCTAGGTTTAGTGCTAGTTGGCACTCACTAGTCAGCAAGGCGTATCTGCAACTACCTTGTAGGAATTCATGTCCTTTCTGAGATTCGAACCCGCGTCACCCAATGTTGCCTGCAGTCAGAAACGTTACTCTTGACCTATTCAGGCTACAATACGATTTCTTTCAAGGTTGAAGATACACCTTGATGACTGGTGAATGCCAACTAGTACCAAGAACCTAGGTCAAGCAGGGTTTCTTGTGGCCGACTGACACCAACCATCTAAAACCAGACTAAGCTAACATATGAAATTTCCAAGATCCAAGGCTTCCTGTGGTCGATTGCCTCCAACCATCTAAGAACCATCAAATCAATGTGCACCGTGATAGCGAGCTAGCTAGAATGGTGGTCACATTACAAGCCTGACTGACTGATAGAATTCAGTCTGCACCAATCAGAGGACTAGATGTATCACACTAGTTACTAGTGTCAAATCAAAGTATCCACTACAGTCCTACATGAGGTCGATCGCGAGCCCGAATAGCTCAGTGGTAACATCTGTGTCTGACTGCAGGTGGCACTGGGTGACGCGGGTTCGAATCTCAGAAGGGACATGAGTTCTTCCAAGATAGTTGCAGATACGCCTTACTGACTGACTGGTTAGTGCCAACTAGCACGAAACCTAGGTCAGACAAGGCTTCCTGTGACCGATTGCCTCCAACCATCTAATACCATCAAATTAGTGATACTGCTATTAGACTACCTACACAACATCATTTATACTTAATTCATATGTAGATATTCTCTTCCATTGATTGATTAGACTGAAGTGCTCTGTCTCACTCAGGTTGACATGTCGGCTTCTTGTTCAGATGCTTCTACGAAGTCTGAGCATTTATAATTAGAAGTTAGTTAATTGGTAGATGGTGACTAGCAGTGGGATTCCATCAGGATAACTCACATTTCGTCCGATTTGGGACTCGTCACTACTGGAATGAAGGTACATCCAGCTGGTAGACGAGTCATAAATAGGGCTAAATACACGTATCCTGACCGACTGTTTAATGACTAGAGTAGAAAACAACTCCTTATCATCAACTATCAACGACCTCCATCTCTACGAGAAATACATCGATGATACTTTCATTATTTGTGATCTAAAAAACCTACCTCAAATCTTCAATAACGCCCCCCTCCCACCTCCAAACATCGACTTCACCCTGGAAGTTGAGTCTAATTCAATGTTTCATTTCCTCGACATTCAACTACGAAGGAATGCAGACAACTCGCTAAGAATATCCATCTACAAAAAGTTCACATGGAACGGACAGTTGATTAACTTTCAAAGTTGTGTGCCTCTAAGCAGAAAGAGAAACCCTAATATACTCTCTTTCCTCGAGGATCTGGAAGATTTGTACTGAAGAGTCCAATCGATAGAGAATTTAGAAGATCTCCGAAGGAATTTGGTAGAAAAAGTGAATTCCCACCCAGATTCATAGACAAGAATCTAAAACCAAAGAATACACCTGAAAAGGTCCTAGCCGCTCGCAAAAACATGCTGATATTGGCACCTCGAATTTAAAAGTGATACCGAAGCAGAAATTCTCCATAGACGGCTTTCGAAGTCTCTCAGTAAAACATACTTCACCGCCAGCCTACAAATAACATTCTCTAGCAAGAAACTACTCACCTAACAAGTGAAATATAAGCTGTTGCATTGAGCCACTTCACAACATGCATATGCAAGTTCACGTGCTTGTGTGGAGTTGAGTACACTGGCTGTACTATGCGTCAGCTTGTACAAAAAGCTCGCACGAGAACACTATCCAGCATGGCTGGCAAGCAAAGGGGTATACAGTTTGATAACAGAACATTGTTTATTTATTAAATAATAATAATTTTTATGCAATCGGTGGATGGTGGCTAGCAGTGGAATCCAGGATGCGCATTTCGTCCTAATTAGGACTCGTCATCTGGATGTATCTGCATTTCTCAGTGAGTGATGATGTTCCCACCGAGGCTCGAACCCAGTGCCCATAGTTTCAAACGCCAAAGCGTTATCCACTAGACCACTTGGGCCACGAGAGCCACCTCTTTTGCAACGGGTCATATTAATTATTGAATTGAATTCTTGATTTTCCCGTCGATTGATTGGACCGAAGCGCTCGGTCTCAGGCTGACATGTCGGCTTCTTGTCCAGATGCTTCGACGATGTCTGGGTATTTAATTGGTGTACAATTGGTTGGAGACCGAGCACTTCGGTCCAATCAATCGACGGGAAAATCAAGAATTCAATTCAATAAATAATAATTTTTCCTTCACGTTCCCAGTGGAACATAGCGACAGCTTCAAGCTAATGGCTTGAAGTTTCTGTAGCAGTGGTGTTTATTTTTACAGGATGCGGTTGCTAGCCAGCCTCATGCCTAGCCAACCTTTCTTCTTTACCAGCAGTATTTTTGGCTTAGCGAGGTAAAGGAATGCGTCTGTGTGGCCGGGGATCGAACCCCGGACCATGTGCATGGTCGGCGAGCTCACTAACCGCTGTGCCATCGACGCACAATTTATTTATTATGACAGTGTAAAATTCTTCATTAAAAAAAACTTAATTAGTCAGCCATTATTAATTAACAAAATGGACGACTCATTTCAAAATCTAATCAGAATCATCATTATATTTTGAGGTGATGACGTAATCATCATTCAATATATCTGTGAATCAATCGATATAACGTACAGCACTCAAAACAAATAAAAAAACTTATAAGAAAATACTGAGGAACATATTTCACTCTAATGACCTACTGCAGATGATTAGGGTGTCTGTCTGTCTATCTCTGTGTTAGTGGGTGCGTGCGTGCTTGTGTGCTGAGAATGATAAACAACAGTTAAAATACAAAAAACAACCAAAACTAACAAACAAAAACAAACTTACTAAGCGTAAATATACAAAAAAGCATGAATACTGTCCAGCTTCTGGTAGATAGGATAGAAATGTTGTAATGCATATCATGAGGACAAGATGATTATTGGTCATTTGACGTAGGGTCTAAAGATGGATTTAAGGCACAAAAAAAACAAAGTTTAGACATGAAAATCAATCAATAAAATGTATTAATTCATGATTTCATTATTTAAAGCGGATCACACGTGACGATGAATCAATACAACTGATATATACATATTGAGCATAAGAAATAATTATTGACTAACTATTGATGTACAATAATGAATGTCAATTTTGCGAAGGAGTGATCGAAGTTTATCGATTGAGTCTATGTAGTAGACATTGTTAGGTACGGAGTGCTCTTTTACCGCCGACGATCTTCAAGTATCCAAAGATAAACTTTATTATCATGTGAAACGCTTGACGATACTACTTAGACACCCAGACGACTGAATGAATCAACGCTGAAATTCAATCAAAGATCTTCACAAATTTAAGGACGTTTTTTTAGACAGACAGTGATTAATTGTGATACGATCATTTGAAGTTTGAGTAAGTTCTAATTATTGGCTTTCACGCGGGGTGGGGGGGGGGAGAACGTAACTCATGAAAGTGAACATCTGGTTCATAATACCAGTATGGTGGACATACAGGTCTATCTAGGGGAGATGTGAAAACGTGATTTCAAACCCATAACGTACATGGGGGAATCCAGATTCTGAAAGAAGCATCATTACGAAAATACTTTTGTCGTTCAATGTTTGCATAATAATAAAAAGCATTGAATTGATCGATAGATCAACAATATTTGCATACTAAGTCATGCAATTAAAGCGATAATGAATCACAAATTACTTTTATATTGCTTGTACAAACAAACTCATATGTGTTTGTGTATGTGTGCGTGTGTGTGTGTGCGTTAACATTGACAGATAAAGAAACAGACAAGTGTTTAATTGTTCTTTTGATTCTCTACAATATTTCCGTTTATAATGTGCTTTCACGTCTACACACAAATGACATCTGATAAGCATGTAACTGCTATTAAAATAGCAGATGAGCAAAACATTTGATTATTCTCAATGACAATAATGATAAAACCCGGAGGATACAGGAAGAGAGAGAGAGAGACATGGAGGGACTTGATCAGGCGTTCTCTCACTCAAACTCATGCAATCAGGTAGGAGCCTGCGGAGAGTTGTCATCTGACAACTGTGGTGACAATTAGTGGTTCCGTCAGGAGGGATGGCTACTGTTCCCATTTCTCTTCAATTTCATCATAGATATTGTACTAATGAACTTAACTCCTAACTGACTTCAGTGACTCAAGGATTGACTTGTTACCACAGAGGGAATAATCTCGTTGACTTAGAATATGCTGAGGATGGTATATATAGTCCCCCATCCTAGGTGAGGTGAAGACGCTGACAAAATAGAGCAGAGTCTGCTGAACACCTTGAGTAGCAATCTGCGAGTATACTGACATGCGATTCGCTCCCTTAATCAAATGTGTAAGATGATGCTATAGGACTGGACTGGACTGGGCTACATTGACCCACTTCTAGCTTAAAGATAGAGAGAGGGAGTTAAATGGTTGGTGGAGCGTGTTGACCACTTCACTTATTCGGGGAGTTACATCTCAACCACCGCCACCAGATTTATCACTGATGAAATCTCAACACGGATACGGAAGGCCAACTTAAACCATCTCTGGCTTAGTGGACGTGATATCCAGTTGACTGTCGATCAAAGGACATGTGTACTGCTCAGCAGTCACTTCACTTCGTCCGCTTTGGTGACATGGCCACTGAAAGTGGAAGACATGAAAAGCCTGACTGGCTGTCTTTGATCACAGGTGACTGTGTTAGGTCTCTCATGTTAGGTTGAATAATACGGTGAACAACATTGTGGTGAGGCATAAGTCGAGTGCTTGTTAGACAGGGAAAATCAATCGATGAGGTTGTGAATTTACACCGATTGAGAGAGATGGTTAGAACATGTGTTATGCAGGCATGTTTAACAACTGCCTTCCTAAATGGGCAATGTTAGCTGACATAGGATGGATCAGGTTGGAAAATGAGCTAGAGCTAGTGGTGGTCAAATGAGCAGATGACTTCATTAGTCAATGAAGTCCACAGCAATTAGTTTAAGCCAGCCTTCTTGAGATCCTCCAGATGGTAAGAACCAATGAAGACTGGAGACAATCAGTGATATGGCTCGAAATCGCTACTGTCAATGGCTGTCGCAAATGTATTCACTCTTTGTGATTTATAATATCCAATAAAAATTCTCTTGTTCTTCATTTCGCCTCATATTTCTATTTATTATCTCTCTTTACCCTGTTCTCTTGCTTTGTGAGCTACGTGAAAAGATTGTGGTCAGTTGAACTGGTGCACACATCTGTGCAAAGTAGTTCTACTTTGGAACCTGTATGTCTGTCTGTTTTCGACATAGAACTTTGCACCGATGTGCGTCAGTTCAACTTGCCACACTCACTCAATGTAGCACACAAAGCAAGAGAAGAAACTAGAAGACATGCATAGTAGAGATAGTAGACAGGGATATGAGTATTATAAGTCACAAAGAGTGGATGCATCTGCTTTAGCCATTGACAACGACGATTTTGAGCCATATCACCAATTGTTTCCAACCATTGGTTTTTACCGTCCCGAGGACCCCAACCAGTCAGTCAGGAAGTTTACACCTTCCTAAGCGGCTGGCTTAAACTAACTGTTGTAGATTTTATTGACTGGTGAAGCCATGTTTTGGTTTGATCGCCGCTAGCTCTTTTCCAGCCTGACCCTATATCACCTAACATTGCCCGTCAAGGAAGACGATGACTAGGCAACCGTGACACATGTCCTAACCATCTCAGTCGGTGTAATTTCACAGCCTCGTCACCGATTGATTTTCCCTCCTTACCTACTACTCGACCGGTGCCTAACCTCAATGTTGCTTACTTTATTATACCACTTCACACGGGAGATAGAAATCAGGCACCTATGATCAATGACAGCCAGACAGGCTTTTCATGTCTTCCACTCTCAATGACAAGGTCTCACAGCTAGCCATGAAGGAGGACGGAGCGGACTGATGAGCAGTACACCCGCCCTTTGGTCGATAGTCGGATATCACGTCTGTCTGTCTGTCTGTTTTCGACATAGAACTTTGCACAAATGTGCGGAAGTTCAAGTCGCTACACTCCGTGTAACACGCGAAGCAAGAGAAGAAAGTACAAGAAAAGCATAATAGAAACAGTGAGCAGAGGTGTGAGACAATGGAATAGTAGTAACGAAGAACAAAACAGTTTCATTGGAGATCATAAGTCACAAGGAGTGGATGCATCTGCGCCACTGTGAACGATTTTGAGCCATGTCACCAATTGTTTCCAACCATAGATTTTTACCGTCCCGAGGACCCCAGCCTGGAAGTCTACGCCAGAGACGGTGTAAACTGGCATATGCGAAACTAGCCCTCTATATCTGTGCTGAGATTTCGTCAGCAATCGACCCGTTGGGGCTGATGGAACCAGTCAGTCAATCAGGCGTTCTACACCAGACTGGGCTCTGGGTCAACACTGACCGTCAGTAGCAATAGTAGTAGTAGTATTTCAGTGGTAGAACGTTTAGATTTCGATTTTTGATATACGTAATGCTTAACTTCGCCTACTTTACTAGTCGTTTTAGTAACCCCGGAAAAAAATGGGAAGTTAGGGATGGGTACTACTGCGGGGTGGTGCTGCTAGCATTCTCACCCTGTAGAAGAGAAAAAAAAGAAACACTGCCAATACTGACACACTGAAGAAAAGTTTAAAACCATATGGTGTTCCCCTCTGAATGAAAATGATATAATAACAAAAAAGAAGCAATCTGTATTAATGCTGTCTCTTTGCTGAATTTCTGCCAGTTTAACGATTGCAGTGTTCAATTGTAAAACTAGCTCATTTCTATTGTTTCACAGAGTTAATATCTACGGCAATGTCACCATCATTACTATTAGTTAATTTCTTCGGAATTCACAGAGATTCTGACAATTTATAAGGTGATTGTAAGACACTAGGCTTGTCACTAGGAAAAATCGCGCAGCTGCCATACACTTGTACATTAGTTGAAGCTTGAATATATATATATATATATATATATATATATATATATATATATATATATATATATATATATATATATATATATATATATATAGATAGATAGATAGATAGATAGATAGATAGATAGATAGATAGATAGATAGATATATAGATATATACATATTTAGCGGAGCTAGAAAACTCTCATTACAAACCTATGGTGTACACAGACTCCATATTCCGAAAGAAGGATCTTCAATGGGTGTATAAGTTTATTTCGGTCACCTGGAACCTTGGGAACGCAGCTCCTGATGCTCTGTTCCACTACCTTGGGTCAGGATAAGACCTCAAGTCACAAGGTGGCCCCACCTGCTTTGATTCGGACCCACTTAGGCAGTATCCAAGATCTCATACAAACTAAGATATTTTGTGCTGCGGATCTCTTGATGTCCATAATGTATCAAGCATGTGTTTTATTAAATAATAATACAAAGGTGAAGAAATCTAGTGATGAGAGATGGATCGGTAATATTCGTTATCTATGCAATCTTTCAGTGCGTCGGTGGCACAGTGGTTAGAATGCTCGCCAAACATCCACATCGTCCGGGGTTCGATCTGCAGCCGACACACTCCTTTACCTCGTTAAGTCAGTAGTAAGACTGGTAAAGAGGAAAGGTTGCGCATGAGGCGACTAGCAACCTCATCCCGAAAACATAATCACTACTGCTACAGAAACTTCAAGCCACCAGCTTGAAGACCTATGTTCCACTGGGAAAGTGAAGGAAATTTTTAAAAATGCAATCTTTCTAGGTAGTCTGATCTAAAAATAATCCCAGCTGTAACTAGCCTGATAACTCTTCAGAACAGATGAAGAAAGCACTAAGTGTAACCATACTGAGAAACAAATTTCACTCCCGGTCTATACACTACTTACAATCTAAACCAAGCTTGAATAGCAGCTTGTGCATTTTACTTTTGCACTACTTTCAAAGAGATGAAGTAAAACTGTCTTACAAGTGAACTATGCAAAGTCGTAGAGCTTGATGGCATATATCGTCGAGTCGAAGATCAATCGATTTCAGTGTTACTTAACAAACACTTGCAAATCTATGAAATAGGAAATGAGCCACACCTATTGCGTGTGAGAGGCCGGGTTATACCCTCCGGGACTACCCAAATCTGGACGCGTGGATTGGGAGGGGGGGTTCGAACCCATGACCAACTGTTTGGAACTACACACCAAATGGTGAGCCAACGAGCCACAACTTCGAGTTTATTTGGAGCCTTATCTGTATATGGTACTGACAGGTGATTGAGATTTTGAGAAAAAAGAGCATTAGATTATGAGGATTTACAATGATTCAACAGCCAATTCGATCTTCGATATGAAACTTACAATTAGTCATCCCTTCTTACACCTCACACTATGTAGCAGAATTTTCAAGGACAAAGTTTACCAGTATCTGATTGGTCAAAAACTTATGTGTTTAATTATAATTACGATTGTACAGCTCATGAAAATGAATCGTCGAAAAGAAAATTTTCTTCGCTGTTTGTGCCTTTTCTTATAAATCATACTAACTTTAGCTCTGAACTGAGGATAACGACAAGAACTGATTCATAGTGATAAACAGAGTGTCTATTAAAAGTGTATTATAACTTTTTTTATTCAATGTTAGAGGGTTTTATGCAGCTGACAAGAACTGACCAAATAAAATGGTTTCATATTATGCACCTGCAAGAATGTTTGCTCCATCTCTGTTCAAATTTATAAAGAGGAACTCCTGGATTGACTTAGAATACACAGATTATTCGACTATTTCGGTGACAGCACTAAAAAAAACCGATAGGTATGCATTTTTTCTTCCAAAAACGCGTTTTCTTTGAACACACTGAAGACTTCATTTAAGTAAGCAATCTAAACAGTGTAGGAATAATCAAACTGTAGGCCTCTATCGACTGACTGACTGACTGACTGACTGACTGACCTAACTGGAACACTTATTAAACTTAGCTATCCACAACCCAACCCTCAGAGTTCAATGTTATTAACTGAAATAAGAACGGGCAGAGAGAAAGCTAGGCGTAATCATATCCTCATTTCAACGGAGGAGTATACGTCAAATAAATGAAATCGATAATTAGAAGGCGTGTAGAGATATAATGCAATAATGCATACGCTTCCATCCTATGGTCTAAATCTATATCAAAATTATATGATTATCATTCCCATTCCCGCCGCGTCATGAAGAGTACCTCAAACAAACTGCAGACCTTCATCAACAAGTGTCTTCGCTCAACATTAGGTGGCCGGCCAGAAAAGATCAGCAACAGGAAGGAATCTCTGGCAATGAACGAACCAACCCAGCAGGAATCAATTGTGCAACAAATATGCAGGAAGAAATGTAGGTGGATTGGCTACACTCTAAGAAAACCATCGAGTGACATCACATGTCAGGCCATCGCCCGAGTGGATTCCGAACGGGAAACGGCCAATTGGTCGTCCAAAGTCGACATGGAGGAAGTCATGTGAGAAGAGGGGATGAAAGTACGTGGGCAGACGGGGAGCCAGGTGATGAAAACGTTGGCAGAGAACCGAATGCAATGGAGACGTGCGGCTAAAGCCCTATGTTCCTCTAGGAACTAAAGGAAACAATAAATAATAATTAGGTTTCATTTGAAACATGGAGCATCGACAGCACATCCTCATTTTCCCCTATCCTCTGCTATCTTTTTCATATGAATCTAAGATCGTCCATAAGATTTTATTTCCTCCTTAGAATTTCTTTTACGCATCATTCTTGGAAACTCAACTCGTTGCTTCCCACTTGGGTTCTACTCAACAGCCTGCCATGATGCGATGTCACTGAACGGTCTCCTCAACATAAGCCCAACGTATATCCATTTTCTTCTGTATATTTTTGTGACCGACAGGTTCTTGGATGGTTCGTTGCTAGAGTTCATCATTTCTTATCTTTTCTGACAAGTCGGCTATCTATAGTCAGTATGGAACCTAGACAGTTATTGATAACATTTGCATCCTGATGGAAATGTACATACATCCAATCTATACATATACGAATCTGCATCAAAATATCATTTGATTATTTCGCCTTTATTTTCTTTTGACTGTACACCACAGAATATTGGAGCGGGCGGATTTGACTGGACTTTTATCAGTTATATCGCCTGTTTTACCATCTCTATTACATTTATGAGTTGTGATGTTGAACAGTAGTAACCCAGTGATTTTTTCTGAACACTTAAAGTAAACTTGCCAAATTTGAGATACTTTCGTACACACCTACAAACTATGCAGAACTTATTTGTGTCAATAGAAGTGAATAGATGCTTGCTACCCCACCTCACACACCCCACTGTCCACAGAGTGGAAATCATTTGCTCCCAGGAATGCCTGGAAGAGAAAACCAACTGATAGTGCGTGACCACAGAACCGGAGCCAGTCATGTACAATCTATTTGGAGATGCATATTTTCTCCATTCGGAAGACCTTATACTCATCTAAGAATTTCTGTAGAAAGAACTTATAGCACCAAACTGTTGCTACATTCCTATTCGCATGAAATACAACCTTCCGTTTACCCTATGGTACTAACCACTTTTAGTCTAACTGCAACACCATCAACGTTTCCGGTATCCTATAACCTGCAGGAACATTTGTCCCAGCCCGTATAGCTTCACGGATGATTGCGATATACAAAACCTATCACCAAATGAAGACAGCATCCATCAGGCAGAAGATCAACGCAGACAAATTATATTTAGGTGAGAAACACTTGTGCGAAATGTCACTTAAATAATAATAATAGCAATAATAATGATAATAGAAATAATTATAATAATATCTTACTGCGAAAGGATCTGCTTTGCCCCATGAGAATTTACCACTTGGACCACCCAGTGTAGATACAGAGCATAAATGACCAATGCGTACTTTTTCTGGAAGGGATTCAGGTACACAGGCAAGAATAAAACAAATGTCTAGAAATGCAATAGCTGTAGCCAATGCTACAACAAGTTCTTCACTGTATACTCGACCTAGATATGCACCAATTGCAGGTGAGCTGACAAGACTGGCTGCAAATGTGGCTGAAACCTGTTTTTTCAACGAAAAAAAAAACAATTTTAGATAAAATTACACATTAGTTTTTCTATAGTTTGGTTTGTAAGGGTTAGTTTCAAGTAAAGATACTATAAGATCGTGTCTAGTTAAAAGCCAAAAATATATGTAGGTAGAGGACCGTATTTACTTATGACTCATTGTAAACATGAACGAATCTCGACTGTTCAAACGTAAGCAGATAATGTACACTATTAAGTGAGAGTGAAACTGTCAGCTATAGAAAATACGCGCAAACAAACAAACTACTATAATAGTTTATCGATCGGTGAATGTCATCAGGAAAACTTCAAAAGTGAAAATCAGATATTGTCCACAAAGGGACAGCGGTGTTTACCTTAATGATCCAAAGCTACCCATCCTTAAGGGTTAAAAAGAAAAATAACGGATGAAATTTCCGCGAAAAACAATTCTAATTTTCTTAAAAATTACCTTATTGCAAGAATAATCCCTTCAAATTCTTATTCCATTTACATTTTGAAAGTACTTGTCTCTACACTATCAAGTCACGTCCAAAGTTTAACTAGCTAATATTTATACGCTGCAACATACTGACCAAATAAAACGATGTTTACCTCATTTTGTTGATCAAAGTTGTCGCCATAGAATGACGTTATACTCTACTTAAGGAATACGAGTTGAAGACATGAAAAGGTTGACTGCTTTCGATCATAGAAGTCTACGATCTCTGTCTCACTTTAGGTGGTTTAATAAGGTAAGTAATGTTGACGTTAGGAGGCGTAGTGTTGGGCAAACAGGGAAAATCAATCGACGAGGCTATAAAGTTACATAGATTGAGATGGCTAGGTGACGTGCTGCGCATTCCTAACCATCGCCTACCCCACCCGACAGGCATTACTAGCTGATATAGGTGGTGCAGGTTGGAAAAGAGTAAGTGGTGGCCAAACAAAAACACATGGCCTCATCAATCCATGAAATAAATCCTTGACAGTTAAACTGAGTCGGTCAGGTAGGGAGATGCAGACTTCCGTCCGGGTTGGGGCCCTCGGGACTGACTCTAGGAATCAATGGCTGGAGACAATAGGTGGCATGACTCAAAATCGTTGTCAATGTCCAGCGCTGATGTATTCAGTCTCTGTAATCTTTCATATTCCTCCTTTCTACAATTACCCATTCTGTTTCGCTCTTATACCTGTCAAACTCTATTGATTCTCTCCACTCATCTTCTTGTCTACCTTTGTATGGTATTTGGAACGTGGCAACTCGAACTGGTGCACTTCGGTGGCAAGTTCTATGTTGAATCCAGACAGATAGACAGACTACTTAGGAAAAATTACCTGCATCAACCGGGAAGCGTGTATACATAAACACGTGGCTCATTTGGTTTAAGAGATCAGTTTGTTGTCAACGGTCACCGCATTTAACTACTACTACACTTATTTCACACATACATAATAAATATGGCTCTTAATCTAGTACATGAGTGATTTGTTTCGAGTAACAGTTCATACAATACGCATATAGACCTATCCTCTTATATCAAATCAAAATATTCAGAAATTCCTGATTCATCTCTTTTTAGTAGTGAATGCAATGTCTAAAAAAAAATCTTTTGGTTGACCGTGTGCACTAGAAACGAAATTCAAGACATACTTAGAAAAAGAAGTCACAGACAAAGGACATACCCATCCTAATTTTTTATATTAATGGACAATATGAGTTGCTAATTTGAATTAACAAATCTAAGTAAAAGGAAGTACAGATGGACAGGCTAGACACAATGAGACACAGAGATAACTTTCAGAACTTCAGTTTCGTCTGGATAAATTCAATACATGCAGCGAAAATATTTATACAGACATTAAGAAAGAGAAAAATTGAGCAAAGAAAACCTTTTCGATAATTTTATCTTCTGATTCTACAATTATATATATATATACATATATATATATATATATATATATATATATATATATATATATAAGCTGCCTAATTTCGCATGTTCTATATGGATCTACCAGTCTGACTGCTCCTGTGGAACTAATTACAAAGGCTGTATAATTAGGAGTGTTTATTGTCGGATTTTCGAACATCACCCGGCATGGTGGTTAAGTAAAGGACAAACAAAATCTATTTGTAGAGCTATTCTATCTCATCTTATGGATACAGAACATAAGACTGATGTTGACCAGGCTTTCAAAATAATCTGCCGCACACCAACAAGTCTTAACTCCGCCTTAAGAGTTCGTTTACCACATGTTGCTGAGGCTGTTGAGATCCAAATTAAGAAACTTAATTCATGTATCCGAAAGAAGAAGTTGGTTCAGACACTGTCCTTACTTTGGCCACCAATTTGTTATGGAAATTTCCTTAATTTCATCTGATATTCTATTTGCTATTACATTTCTATGTTTATTATAGCTTAAACGTCTTCCTTGACATAGATTCAATGGTCTTAACAAAGTTAGCACGCTCGCCAACCATGCATATGGTCTGGGGTTCGATCCCCGGCCGGCGCACTCCTTTACCTCACTGAGCCAGAAATAATGCTGGTAAAGAGGAAAGGTTGGGCATGAGGCTAGCAACCCCATCCTGTAAAAATTAAACTCTGCTACAGAATCTTCAAGCCACTAGATTGGAGCCCTATGTTCCACTGGGAACGTGAAGGAAAAATTATTATTATTATTAACAAATTTCTATTACTTAAAAACATCAATATTGTTAGTAACGGTTATTTTAGAATATTCTGTGTACATATATATACGTGTATAATTGTAGAGCCAGAAGAAGAGGAAATTATCAAAAAGGATATTCTTTGCTTAATTTTTTTTCAGTACATATTTTAGCTCATATGTAATAAGCAACACAAGCTATTCTCATGTAGTCAAGTGAATTTTAGACATACACGTTACGATTAGAGAGGTGAACTGAAAACTAGGAGTCCCTAAATCCAGATACAGACAAAAATTACATGGAATTAAGTCTAGATAAACACAAAAACCAAGTCAAGGAACAGCTATCCGGCAGAATGATCTTAAGAAATCAAGTGTATGATCTGTAAGTACGGTACCACATTAGTGAAATGAATTAAGTCATGAAAGTGCACAAAGGCAAATCCTAACTTTAACTGATCACTCTAGCTCCTAACCACATGCAGAAGTCACTCAGATCTACGGAGACACTTTGAGGAAAAATTGAAGTTTTGATTCCAATCTTTTAAATTAGAGAACGTGTAGAGTAAATACACTTCTTGGAACATTTGTTTACGAATATAGTACTTTTTGACGTAAATTAGTCTGATTTAAAGCAACTAATAGCTTCAAAATAATTCATGTGATCATTCGCTTGAGTCACTAATCTTTGACCCAGACGAATGAGAATTCGATATAAAGAAATCATTAATAAAGATGCTTACCAATCCATAGCCCCAGCTTCTATCCTCTTCTGTCGTTATATCAGCGACATATGCCAAGGCGAATGAAAATGTCACTGCAAAGACACCTGATATGCTGACCATGGTGAAATACCACCAATGACTAATTTTCATCAGTGGTATAGGAGAGCACGTAAAAGTGACTGTTAGGAGTAAGAACGGTTTCCTCCCAAACATATCGGAGAGGGCACCCAAAAAAGGGGCACTGAAGAATGACAAGAAGCCTTTTACCCCTTGTATAATTCCATTCATAAGGAACGTGTGTTTGGGGAATGTTTCATCCAACACCTAAAGAAAAATAACTTTATGATTAATTCATACCGAGATCATCGGAGTGGTTAACAATCCGAAGGCGAAGAATTCCAAGAATATCACAATAGCTGCATGATATACAGTGGGAGTTGACCAACATGTTTTCTCCTGAGAAACAATCAGAAACCTTGTGCAAATTACCTCTGGTTTATGATCACCAGATACAGTAAGACGCCGCCTATTAGCCATGGTTTAAGATTTCCTCGTCATATTATAAAAACGTATGTCAACGACGGATACGCGCCACAATCTATCTTAGCGCCTAACGAAAATAAGCATTAAAAGCTTCGCAGTTGAACCAAACGGTTGATTGGACTTATTCCGCCAGAATTAAATATAAACCCCTATGTATGTGAATGCGGATTGAGTTCGACGACTTATCTTGGGTTTTCCTGCCTGACCACATTCTTCATTAATTAATTAGTGAGACAGTTAATTAAACTGATTTGAGTATTGATGGTTAGAGAGTTGGTTCCGACAAATTACGGAATTTTGTTAATATTTGGATTACTGCATGCCATTTTGGCGCTTGCATATAAAGTGTGAATGTTAAAAAACGTGGGAAGGTTATTTTTTATTTATTTTATTTTTTTATTTTATTTTTGATTTACAGCTTGATTCCACACTGTATTTTTGGTACAAGTATGGAATTTTCAGCATGGATATCGGTAGCCCAAATTTTGCAGGCCGACCATAGATATCAGGTGTGCGCCGGCGTGGGCTCGAACCCCGGACCATGTTCATGGTCGGCGAGAGTCCTAACCACGGTGCCACCGACGCACCAAACCTCTTGCGACCGCCGGGAGTCGAACCCGGATCGACTGCTTGGAAGGCAGCCATGATAACCGCTATGTATGGCAGTACGTTAGGACCAAAGCTGAAAATACAAATCCTGAATTAGACCTATGACTTCATTTAAAAATACAGAAGATGGAATTGAGACACCATTTAGGAGTAAACTACCACCTTTAACATGACCTGTAGACTGATCACGAATCCATTGTTCACAAAAGTTAGAGGCCTGCAATGCCTGGAGATGGGAAATTGCTACAAGTGTATTCAATGACCGAATACTAACAGTAACGTAGGATCGAAACTCCGATGTATCTGTGCCCGGTTATGTGACTACACGTCCAATAGTTACAAAAGATATACCTGGGAAAATCTTCGAGTATTTCGCCTCTGTCGCTCTTATAACCAGGCTACACATCTATCAACCAGGATGTTATAACCTTACCAGAGATCCCGTGCCAATTACTGAACCACACACACATCCATTACTGAGACCCACGCACCAACTAACTGGCGGGTTAAATAGTCATTTTAAAGGGTGCTGTCAATCACGTCTCATAAACCGTTAATGCCCAGCTCTCGCTACGCTCGGGCCCACGCTGTTCCTTTGAGTTTTCAGAAACGCTTAGTTATAACGGACGAAAAACCCAAAACACCGATCTGCCGTTTGATATTTCTGTATTGTTACACCAACATATAAAAGGAATAAGCGAACTAAGGTCTGTAAACAAATATTACAATAATAAATCGTTATATTACTTCTGACGATGTTTCACTCTTCTTTCTGAACAGCGACCGATGAGACGATGACTGTCGTATTGATGCCTCCGCGAAAATCGGGGAAGTTGATTTTGAGCAAACAACCAAGAATTGATCGTTCAATCTTCAACTCCATTGACACTCCCCGGCAAAAAAGGGATCCAACCCTTTTTTCCTTCACGACCAATGCACGTTGACTTGGATGCCATTGCGAGAACCTGGGTCACACGGACAGAGCTGAAATGGAAAACAAACAGAAAAGCCAACACACCACAAGCATACCCACAGCACAATCTCACACATCGCTGACGACCTGCGCCTCCAGACAGAGACCTCCTCTTGACATCTTGCAACACAATCGCCACTTGCTAGAATGACTCTTGCAGAATGCAACGTGACCACAGCAACACCTCACGATACTCTACGCACATCCTCTTATCTACTCACTACCAATTACCACTGAAATCGCTTGTCACTCATTCTGCCTCAGTTCTAATAGCGGTGACGCATGCGAGCCTCAGTCGTTTACACTCTTTCTCCCCGGCGTGTCGGACCGCAGCTAACAATTATCTCCGTGTGCATTTCATTCTCAGCAATAGCCTCCCCGGCGTATACGACCCATCTGCTGTCCTTAACATCAATCAATTCATTCACGGATGTAGAAGACTGGAAACAACTTTAGAAGTAATCACGACGAAAATTTTAACAAAATTACGCAATAACAACAAGATACGAAAACAACAAGTAAACACAATGAATCCAAAAACACCAATTGATATGACACACCACACATATATACAAATAGTACAAATAACCTCGCGGATCATGTCTTGGTGGAATTCCTTTGAAGAATTGCAGGACTTACACCAGTACGCCTGCAACCCTTCACAGGTTGACGATTGTAAGTTGTGGAATGTCCAGACACAAACAAGATTAACCAACAATTACATCAATTGGAACTCACACAACTATTTAACACAAACATATGTACAATCAACACATCAAATGTTGTGGATTCTGACACGACAAACTACCCTTGAAGAACTGTAGGACTTACAGCAGTACGCCTACATTCCTTCTCAGGTTGATGATCCAAGTGGAAGTCGTCCGGACACAAACAGAATTACCAACAGCTAGATGACAGATGATATCAATTCAGTATATACAATATGAACATATGTACAAAATCACACACCAAGCACATTGGACTGCTCATTGATGCGCTACCCTTTGAAGAATTGTAGGACTTACAGCAGTACGCCTACAACCCTTCTCAGGTTGACGCTCTAGGTTGGAAAATCGTCGCAGAGTTCATTTGCTGACTTCCTTCTATCAGCTATATCCTCAAATCTGAACGGCAACACGCCCATGTCATTGTATCGTAGAATATAGATGACCAACAAACACACGACATATCTCATCAACCAAGTGTAGAAACAGAGTAATTTACACCAAAGATAATAACATTCAAATAGTAACTTGAAACTAGAAATGCCTTTATTCGTGCAAGTCAATTTAACAATTACTCTCTCGTTTACACTTGGCTTATCCTCACTAAACTGACCATTGATATTCGTCCTTTCAAACGAACTGATACTAGCATAGTCATTGCACAAGATACTTGAGTTGATGGGCGTCTTTTTCATTGTGGATGACAGCACCAACGACGACTGATTGATATCAGTTGATGAAGTTAGCGGTGGATCAAAAGCTGTTGTTGCTCGACTTTCAGATAGTTGTCTACCTGCAAGACCACCACAACTGCTGTCTTTTACTATCAGCTCAGGTTTAGCACTAGCATCTGATGATAGGTGGGCTACATGCTGATCACTTACACTGACGGTCTCACAAGTATGCATGCCTTCTGCAACTGCATCTGCATTTATTTCTACTTCACGTTCAAGTTGTACAGAACCTTTGTTCAACTTAGCAGTAGTAGGCATATCCCTCATCTCATCATGATCAACCAAAGACAAATCTGCACTATCATGATCATTACCACAAATATTCAATTTACCGTCAAGTTCATCATTTTCAAACTCTTTAATAACAGAAGTAGACAATTTTGGTTCCTCCTCACAAATCATTAAAGGTTTTATATCTTCACTCTGACTAGTTATACTTTGTAAACTTTTGGAGTCAGAACTCCACTCTGAAGCAGTAACTCTATTCTGTGACACTCTATTCAGCAACGGCTTACCAGTTGCAACTACAGACTTCTTCACAACAACGTTATCGTCACACAATTCGGAGTCAGACCTGGAGTTTACATTTAGCTTATCACTGAACTTGCTCACTGGTTCACAGTTCACTTCTGTATGCACCTCTTGCAAACGTGTAAAACAAAGCCGTGTTTGTCTTGCATCTTGTAACTTATCTGTTGAGGATGTACTACGAAACCTGTTACACTCACTAGGTCTATATGCATTACTAGACATCATGGAGTCTTCTCGATATCCACCTCTCTGAGGCTTATTCGTCATCAATGAGTGCGTTTTACCCTCAGACTGCTCTATTCTAGGGGTGAGATGCAATATACTGGCAAACTTGCTCATAGATTGATTGACACTAGTATTTACCAGTTTCAGGATATCATCAAACTTTGGCTCGATACCCTCATCCTCCATACGGGAGCTTATCTTCACCCACTTCCTTTGCAGTCGAGTAGGTAGACGTCTTGCTATTACTTCTAGTATAAAACTCGAGTTGAGGTCACTCATGCAATTCATCGAAATCAAGGTATTCTTGTAAATTAGCAAATTATCTAAAAACTCAGTGAGTGCCTGGGAGTCATCCTGTAATTGACCACCATTACCCTTAACAGCCTCGAATAATTTCCCTGCAATCATCGAAGGTCTTCCAAACCTTTGACGTAATATGCTCATAGCCTCGTAGTAGCCCTCTTTAGGCTTCATAAACTTACAGCACTGTATAGCTCTTGCAGCATCTCCAGTGCAATATCTCATCAAATACATTAACTTCAATTCATCATTTATTAGAAAACCACTCAACATGATCTCAAACTCCTTTACAAATTGTAAATAATCAGCCGGGTTTCCATCGAAACACCGTGGTTCAAATTTAGGGAGTTTGATGTTCCTATTATCCCTGAACGGCGAAACAGTAACATCAACCATGTCATGCTTAACATCAGACACATCGTTACAATTAACAGACAAGTCACCATGACTTACTTTCCTGTTTGCATCCAAGACACTCTGTCCCTTCTTTGACCCAGGCATTGTTGAACTTGACCCAATTCCAAAAAGGTTCCAGATATTGCTTGTTCAAAGAGGACTTGACCGGCACCAGGAAAGACAAACGGTGACTATCCAAACTTTCACCAACTGTCTGAATCCGCCAGATCTGTTTCTACCATCAGAAACTGTCAATCACGTCTCATAAACCGTTAATGCCCAGCTCTCGCTACGCTCGGGCCCACGCTGTTCCTTTGAGTTTTCAGAAACGCTTAGTTATAACGGACGCAAAAACCAAAACACCGATCTGCCGTTTGATATTTCTGTATTGTTACACCAACATATAAAAGGAATAAGCGAACTAAGATCTGTAAACAAATATTACAATAATAAATCGTTATATTACTTCTGACGATGTTTCACTCTTCTTTCTGAACAGCGACCGATGAGACGATGACTGTCGTATTGATGCCTCCGCGAAAATCGGGGAAGTTGATTTTGAGCAAACAACCAAGAATTGATCGTTCAATCTTCAACTCCATT